GCCTATATATTGTATAATAATCACCATTCTGCTCAATGGTGTTCAAAGCCCTTAGAAGCTCAATCCATATTCAACTAATTTAAAACCTGAGTTACAGGACTCAAACTATATTCAGAAGTCATGTGTTTTTTTATTTGTTGGTTTTGTGTGTGTGTGTGTAAATCTTGTCTTCCATAATGACTAGCTTTCTGACAACTATTATCATTACCAGAATGCCAGTTCCCCAAAGTATTCTTGATCATTTATCTTCACTAATATGCCTTTCCTGTGGCTCACAGGTATTTCAAGTAGTAAACTATGGGTTAATACCTCAAGGTTTTGGTGACTAAAATGTTGCTCTGCCAAAAGACTGGGTGCTCTATTTGAAAGAAGATAAATATGACTTTCTTATAGTCTTTTATGTTGTATTTAATTCTTTTCTTTTTAAGAGAGTTAGCATTTAAAAATATATAGGACATCTAAATTTAATGAATTTAGAAGATTGACTTTAAAAATAAAATCAAGTAGGTTCCAGTAAGATGGAACCTTGTCTCTTCCATTGAATACAATCCCTCTGTCTCTTCCATTGAACACAACCCATGTAGTATTTCCTGGCTTCAACTAAAGAAATCCCAGAACCCAGAAGTGTGTACCACTGTATGGACAGAGCTACAAGAGAAGCCCTCTATCCATAGTCAGAGAAGTGGGAAAGGGGATTCTTAAGGATAAGAATGAGTGGGAGAAAATACCCCCCTTCTTTTTTTAAAATATTTTTTCCATTCTCTCCTGCCCCAGGTCCCATAGTGGTAGGGTCAGCAATAGCAGGGTTGCAAATCTCCATTGATTTTTTTTTCCCTTTCTGTCCTCTTGCCATTTGGCCCCAGAGCATGATGCAGTCATGATAAGTTCACAACAGAGTGAGATAACTAAAGCCCTCACTCTTTGGTAAAGGGATAGTGAAGGGAAGCTCCAGAGAGGCAGAATACGTTGGGGACATAGTGGAGAGAAGAGATCTCAAGAGAGTGATTCCATAGAGTGATATAATAACTCTTGAAGAAACCTCAGAGCTGCATAGGCATGGATGGGACCCTAAAAAGTTTACCAAAAGTTTTGAGAACTGACCTATGGGCCAGATAATTTCCCAGGTTGTACACTGGCCACCGGATGACACGTATGTGGGACAGGTTCAAATAGCACTGCAAAGGCTCTAAAAACTGAAAGCACATTCCAACTACAATCCTCAAAAGGCATATAGCCTGAACTTAACCAGGTTGACTGCCTGCTAAAATAACAGCAACAAAAGGTAACTTTCCACCGAAAATTTAAGCAAGACCCAGAATCTCATAACATGATATTCGAAATGTCCAGGAAACAAATCAAAATTACTCAGCATATGAAGAACCCAGAAAATATCAACATGCAAGAGAAAAGACAGTTAACTGAAGCCAATTTTTTTTTTTTTTTTTTTTTTTTGTCCTTTTTGAAACCGCCCCCCCCCCCCCACCCAGGGGGGGGGGGGGGGCCGGTTTAAAAAAGAAAAAAAAAAAAAATTAACCGAAACCAATTTTTTTTTTTTTTTCTTTTTTAGACCCGGCCCCCCCCCCCCCCCGCCCAGCCCGTGAGCGCTGTGAGCGCACCGGTCATCCCTATATAGGATCTGAACCCACGGCAGGAGCGCTGTGCTCCCAGCACCGCACTCTCCCGAGCGTGCCACGGACTCGGCCCAAGAGAAAAGACAATTAACAGAAGCCAATTCTGAGATGACAGATGTTGGAGCTATCAACCAAAGACTTTAAAAGCAGCTAATATAACTCCTACCTTGAATTCCTAGGATAAATCCCAGCTGGTCATTATGTATTATGCTTTTAATATATTGTTGGACTCAATTTGCTTAAATTTTGTTTGGAAATACTGTATCTATGTTCATGAGGGATACTGGTCTATAGCTTTCTGGCTTTATCTGGTTTTTGTATCAGGGTAAGGCTGAACTCATAGAATGGGATGGGAAGTATTTCCCCCTCTCCTATTTTCTGGAAGAGTTTGTGTAGAATTGGTTTTATTCCTACCTTAAATATCTGATAATTAGTTTGTGCAACCATCTGGGCCTGGAACTTTCTTTGTGGGAAGTTCTTAAACTACACATTTAATTACTTAAATTAATATGTTTCATAGGTTGTCTATTTCTTTTTGGAAAAGCTTTGGTATTTTGTGTCTTTCAAGAAATTTGTACATTTTATCTATGGTGAACTTACTGGCATAAAGTTGTTAACAATATTCCCTTAATTATCTTTTTAATATCTATAAAATATGGAGTGATGCCACTTCTATTATTCCTGATATTGGCTATTTATATCTTTTTCCTAATGGATCTGGCTAGAGGTCTATCAATCTTATTGATCTCAAAGAACTAGCTTTTGGTTTCAATGATTTTCTATATTGTTTTCCTATTTTCTATTTCATTGATTTCAACTTTAATCTTTATTATTTCTTTTCTTCTATTTACTTTGGGTTTTATTTGCTTTTCTTTTTCTACTTCCTTAGGGTGAAAACTGAGATCATTGATTTAAGACTATTTTTCTTGGTCTCAAAATAATTGTAAAGCACTATAAATTTCCCCCTTTGTGCTGCTTTAGTGGCATCCCACCAATTCTGATAGTGTTTGTGTTTTCATTTTCATTCGCTTCAGGATACTTTTTAATTTCTCTCTGTGTTTCTTCTTTGATCCATGGGTTACTTAAAAGTGTTTTATTTAATTTCCAAATATTTGGGGATTTTCCAACAGTCTTTCTGTTATTATATCTAACTTAATTCCATCCTGGTCATGGAATGACTTGAATTCTTTTGAATTTATTAAGAATTGTTTTATGGCCCAGAATATGATCTATCTTGTAAATGTTCTGTATACATTTGAGAAGAATATGTACTCTGCTGCTGTTAGATGGCATGGTCAGCAAATGTCAATCAGGTCAAATTGGTTAATAGTGTTATTCAGGTCTACTATATCTTTGCTGACTTTCTGCCTACTTAGTCTATCAATTATTGAAAGAGGGGTAGTGAAATCCCTGACTATAATTGTAGATTTCTATTTCTCCTTGCAGTTCTATCAGATTTTGCATCAAGTATTTGGAAGCTCTTTTAGTATGTGCAAAAACATTTAGGATTATTATATCTTCATGATGAACTGAAACCTTTATTATAAAATGACCAGTGATTAAAAAAATTCCTGATTATATTCTTTGTTCTGAAATTGACTTTGTATGATATTAATACAGACAAACCACCTTTCTCTTGACTAGTGTTAGAATGGTATATCTTCTTCTGTTCTTTTACTTTTAACCTTTATATGTCTTTATATTTAAAGTGTGTTCTTTGTGGGCTGCATGTAGTTGCGCCCTGCATTTTATCCAATCTGACAATCTCTGCCTTTTTTGGGGAATACTCATATATAGATATTTAATCTGCCACTAATCCCATCAGTGCATTTTTTATCTCATATATTATAGTTTAGTTTCTAGAAGTTTGATTTGGGTCTTTCTACATCTCTAACTTTTTGAACATATGGAAAACGGCCATAATAAGTTTGTGTACTTCTCTCATCATTCTAATATCTTTGTCAGTTCTGGCTTTGTTTGATGGATTTTTCTCATTATGGGTTGTGTTTCCTTGCCTCTTTGTATGCCTGGTTATCTGATTGGATGCCAGACATTGTGAATTTTACCTTATTAGGTGCTAGATATTTTTGCGTTCATATAAATTCTCTTGAGCTGTTAGGGGATACAGCTAAGTTCCTTGGAAATAGTTTGATCCTTTGGGTCATGCTTTTACGATTTGTTAGGTCAGTCCATAGCAGTGCTAAGTCTAAAGATAATTATTCCTTACTACTGCGTCAAGAGTTTTCTGACTACCCCATCAGTTATGGGTTTTTGTAGTCTAGCTGATAGGAACAGACATCTTCTGCCCTGTGTGAATGCAGATTATTATTCCCTCTAATCCTTTCAGATGGTTTGTTTCCTCAAACTCAGGTAATTTTCTCACATATATTCTTTGATTGATACTCTTAAACTAGAATTAAAAGATAATAAAAATCTTTCCATGAACTTTTTTTTTTTTTTTTTTGTCCTTTTTGAGACCGGCCGCACCGGTCATCCCTATATAGGATCCAAACCCGCGGCGGGAGCGTTGCGCTCCCAGCGCCGCACTCTCCCAAGTGCGCCACAGGCTCGGCCCTTTCCATGAACTTTTTAAAGACCCTTTATACTTGAGGGAGATCCTCTGCAGATCTTTAGGACTCTCTTTATGAAGCTCTGTGCTCTCTAATATACATTCTTGAACTGTATTCATCTTGGTCTCCCTGGACTCTCAGCTCTGTTTCCTCAATTCAAATTGTCCACAAGGCTCTTGCTCAGGTACCCGTCCCTCTCCATGCCATGTCCTGGCAACTCTTTCAAGGCAGTAAGCTAGGGTAATGGTCAGGCTAACCTCACTTGTTTCCCATCTCTCAAGAGCCACTGTTCTTCATTGCCTGATATCCATGGTCTTAAAAACTTGTTTGATGTATTTTGCCTTTGTCTTTTTTTGTTATTTCTGGCAGGATGATAAATATAGTCCCTGTTACTCCGTCTTAGCCAGAAGAAAAAAAATCCAGGATTGACTTTACTCCATTTTTTGACTTCCGTTTTTTGAAGGAGACTGAGTAGTTCAGATGCTAACAATAATAGGGTTAATTTGGTTTCTGCAATAGGAATCTGTCAAGTAATATATATATATATATATATATATATATATATATTATTTAGGAGCTACACTAAGAAGCAATGGCAGATATTTCTTACCTTTTTCTCTTACTTAGATTATCCTCCAGTATTGGTTGGGGCGGGGGGGTCAGGTACCATAAGCTCAATTAGTTATGCTTTTATCCATGACTAGTTTCTGAATCTTCCATACTAAATTTTTACTTATTCGATTCAATAATCCATAAACTTACATCTTTTTAAAATAATGTGACTTTTATTTGCACTCACCTTCGTAAATGGCATCAGTTATTACTTTTTCTTGTTCCTTTAAGAGGAACCTTGTTTGGTCAAAAATAACAGTGGCAAATTTCCAATTAGCAGCAGGGAGAGTGCAGAGGCATGCAAGTTTTTTTAAGATAGGAGTGGCTGCTGCTTCTAGGAGACAGTATGCTTGGCACTGACTATCTGCAAAAATAAAAGCATTAAAGGCAATGTTTTTATAAGGATAGTACTCTCTTTTTGATAAGCCAATTAAACATATTACTTCATGGAAATCTGAACTTCTATCCAAATTATTTTCTGAGTTAAAAATCATGAGATTATATAGAGACTTATTTTTGGATAAATAGACTAGTAAAAACAAACAAAAAAACCCCTGTAGAATTATATAATTTTATGGATATCTTATTTATCAGAAAGGATTTACTCAGTAACTAATATGACATGGCAAGTATGAAGAGCCATATAACAGGAATCACATAAGTTTTTTCTTTTCCCTCCTCCACTATTAGCTTACAACCAAACACATTTGTAACAATGACAAATTACTTCAAGTTTTAACTAGAATATCATTATTTAAAGAGTTGCATAATCATCTAGAGACCATAAATAAAATTGAACCAAAAGAATGAAAAGACACTTGAGAACTAGTGTCATATTTACTTATTGATTTTAATAAGGAGCATGATGTTCTTAAGCAGCCTGTTCTTTAGGAGTCAAAGTATATTCTTCTTTACAGCAGAACACAAAAAAATCAATACAGGAATCAATAGTAACTTATGTACATTATCCTGATAGTGGGTAAGAGAACAGAGAGAGCAGTTCATTTTCCAGACTGGATATATGAATTAAGGGAAGCAGCAGCAGTTTAAATGAGGGAAGAAATAACACTTAGTGGACTGGAGAAGGGCAGTGGGAAGGGGCAGAGGCAATGAACAGGGCCTTCGAGGTCTGGAAGTAATCTGAAAGTAGGAGTGGAAAGAAGAAATATCTGAAACAAATGAAAAAAATTTCATGGAAAATGAGGTATGTCCTAGATATGCAGGAAAGGAATTTCAAACTAAGTAAATCTGAGTGCATTTTAAAAGTATGTAGCATACCTGATGCTTGAATTTCAATAACATTATCTGCTCCCCTTTCCTTATTTATTTTCTCTAGGGTTTTATTCGTACAAACAATAGGACTTTCTTCTTGAAGAGTCAAAGAACTTTCTTCTTTATCTCGAAATTCTAATAAAAAAAAGATTAATCTGTGTTGTTCAGGAGAAACTAAATATTACTTTAATGATTTCTTCTAAAATATTATTATAAGGGTTAAATTTCTTCATTGAAACATGTCAGTATTAAATTGAACAATTATTCAGATCAGTGGACCTTACACTCTGCTGGGTAGGAAGATAAACGGTAAAAATGAAAAGAACTATAGCATCAGATCAGTGTTTCAATCTCAGTTCTGACCCTAGCCTCAGTTTCCTCATAGATAAAATATAAATAAATATACTCACTTTAAATATTGTTAAAAGGATTAAACACCAAGTACAGTTCCTGATACTGTGCTACATCATTTCTTTGTGACTTTCCACATACACCTCTTTCTGCTACTCATCTTCTCCTCTGCCCCAAGCCTTCTCTGTCTCCATCCTTTCTTAACTAGGCCAATTGTTCTACTTACCCATCAGCTTTCAGGCACCTTCTCTAAGAAGTCTTATGTAACTGCCCACCCTACTTCCAGCCAGCACAGTGCCCTCCTGTTTGTTTCCTCAGTACTCTGTGCATACTTCTCTCCCAGTACTTTCCACACTGTATTGAAATGATCTATCTACATGTCTGGCCTACTCTGTTACACTGGCTAGCAACAGTATCATATTTACCTCTAATGTGTAATTTTGTGCCTGGCAGAGTGTTCAATAAAGTTAGTTTTTTCTTCTTTCCTAGGTATTGAAGAGTATTCAATAATATAATTTTAGTTATTTTAACTAGGTAATAATGTCATCCATCAATAATATGATTACAAGATAATTTTAGGAACACATTACCATCTTGAAACATTTCAATATATGAGCTTTAAATACATGGTTAAAAATGTAATAATGAAGTATATCCTAAATTGGATTATGATGCTTTCCAGTAATTCCTTCAACTAACTATAAATAACTGGAAGAGGTAAAATCAAATAATATTATTATTGGAATTTTTGAGGGAACTTAATAAGTTGTAACATTTCTTGTCCCTGAATCAACTGTAAAATAAGACAAGAAGTAAAATATACACCAGAATACTACCTTTATTACTAATAAAGTATAAGTAGGAGAACAGAGCTTAGTTTGAGAGTAAATTGAGCTTACTAACTAAACATCAGAATTAGGCAATTACCCATCCGGTCCTAGGGTATGCTGAACTGGGATAGGATTCTTCATTGGGTGGGGGGGAGAGGGGACTGCCCAGGAAAGAGTCATGACATAGAGAAGCCGAGGAGAATGACTTTCTCCTGGGTAACTCATTCTCACAAACTTTTGCCCAATTTATTCTTTCCAAATTTACAATTCAGATAATTCTTCCCACCCCTTCTAGGGAGAATGTATAAAGGGGCAAAGAGGCCAGGAATAAAACACTAATTGCATATAGAAGCATTCCCACCTAACATCAGGAGTACAGAAACATTCCCATCTAACATTAATATTCTTTTAATTGTTTAGTAAATTAATGGCTAGTTTTTTTTACAAGAAAATGTTCTTTTTATCTTTTCCTTCTTTGTTGCTGCTTTCCCTCATTTTCTGTTGCTAATAATATGCTACTACAAGCCAGTAACACAAGTATGACAATCAGAAAAGAATGTCAGTGTTAATTTTGGAGTGGATTCGTTTTTTTACCCCAAATATGAATAGGATTTCAAAAAATTAACAAATCTGAAAAAAAGAAATCTTTTAAAAACTCCTATTTTTATATCACATTTACAAGATAATTCTTTATATTTGGTTCATTCTTTTATGCAGAAGTTACACTTGAATTATGGTGTAAATATTGGTTAGAAAGATCTCAGTTACATATGAAATTGTCACCTATTAAGGTAGATTATAAGGTGGTTAAAGAATTCCATAAAAAGAAACTTAAAGGTGAATAAATGTAAACAAAGGATCACAAAATTCTGAAACTTTTAGATACTAATCTTTATCTTCACCAAATATTTCACTGCAAAAAAAGGACGGACAAAGTAATATAACTTTAAGCAGATCTATACAAGGCTGTCACATCTTTTGTTTTTTATTTATTTATTTAATTTTATTTTGTCAATATACAATTTGGTTGATTATTGTGGCCCATTACCGAAACCTTCCTCCCTCTACCCTCTCCCTGCTCCCCCCCAACAACCTCATATCTGTTCGCTTGTCCTATCAACTTTAAGGAATTGTAATTGTTCTGTCTTCTTCCCTCCCCCCCAGTTTATTTTTGTATTTATTTATTTATTTTTAGCTCCCACAAATAAGTGAGAATATGTGATATTTCTTTTTCTGTGCCTGACTTGTTTCACTTAATACAATTCTCTCTAGGTCCATCCATGTGGTTGCAAATGGCAGTATTTCATTCTTTTTATAGCACAGTAGTATTCTATTGTGTAGCTATACCACATTTTCCATCTCCACTCATCTGATGATGGACATTTGGGCTGGTTCCAACTCTTATCTATTGTAAATAGTGCTGCAGTGAACATTGGAGAACAGGTATACCTTCGACTTGATGATTTTCATTCCTCTGGGTATATTCCCAGCAGTGGGATAGCTGGGTCATATGGTAGATCTATCTGCAATTGTTTAAGGAACCTCCATACCATTTTCCACAGGGGCGGCACAATTTTGCAGTCCCACCAACAATTTATGAGAGTTCCTTTTTCTCTGCAACCTCACCAGCATTTATCATTCACAGTCTTTTTGATATTAGCCATCCTAACTGGGGTGAGATGGTATCAGTGTGGTTTTGATTTGCATTTCCAGAATGCAGAGTGATGATGAGCATTTTTTTCATCTGTCTGTTGGTCATTCTTATATCTTCCTTTGAGAAAGGCCTATT